TGATCAATTGCAACGTGGTCAATATCAACATGGTCAATTGGGACTATGATCAATATTAATGAGGTCAAACGGGTCGTCACATTGACCGCCTAGCATAGATGATCTTCCGATACTTGATACTGCTCCGTGGCGATTTTCAGATCGATTTCACACTCCGCCATGCACTGTAGGAAAAGATTCTGTGCATAACGTGCGTGACTCAGGTTCGTCTGGAGGAGTCAAGTAGCTATATGCATTATGCGGCCGCATTCTTAGCCTCCAAGCAAACCTCCATTTATTCGTTTCCCTCGGTAGGGAGGGAAATTTTTCTCCGGGAGAGAGTGTTGTTGCTCCTTTCGAGCTTTATCCCCTGTCATCGACCTCTTCCCTTTATCGTTAGGAGAGACGGGCACTCGCCGTCGTGTCCGCCATCTTTTTCAGAAAGGCTCCTCCTCCTTTGGAAGTCTTGCAGCTTGGGTCTTCGACGTGATATTCCGCGGGATGCCCGGCCGCGCTACATGCTGGATATTTGACCATTTCTCGGCCATTTCTTTAACCGGGTGTCCCACCTTTCCACAGCGGAAGCACGCCCTGCTTCTATCCATGGGGTTGGTTATTACCTAACATTATTGCCTAACATGACCTTTTTCCACGCATCGGTAGCATTGGAGAGGTCTGGCTTCCAATAGGCCAACTCTTGCTGACATCCATCCAACTCGGATATGGCCAAGCGCCGCGATGTTGGTCGACCGTGTTGCCACCGGACACTGCACCCAAGCGGTGTCCATGCCATTCGATGCTGACTTGATCTCCCTTTACTCGGATATCTCGAGAGTCACAGCCGTCCTTTCTCGCGATCGCTTTAGCAATGTCGATGGGCCTGATCGAGTCGTCCAAGTCCCGTGAGCTCAGCCTTTTTTAGTATCCTATTTTGACCTCCTCGAAGTCCCTCAAGGCCTCCCTCATGATTTCAGTAAGTTTGTCCGTTTTGATGGCACCCTTTTGCCCCGAAATTTCGAGTATCAGCGCCCTCGTTATCGCACGTTTTGCTCTTATCTCAGGGATTTCCATTTTTTCCAATTTTTAGCTGAAAATCTTTTCTCTTCACCAACGCCTTCGCGTATTCGCCCGCAGGGCAGATGATGATTACGGCTGCAGTGTTATGAACTCTTCTCTTCTTCTTATTCTTCCCCCCTTAGGGGTTGTCTTGCTCTTGTTGGCTTAGGTTTTCTGAAAGGCCTTGCACGCGTTCTTTGCGCGCCTCAGCGCGCTTTTTTTTTTTCCCACCTGTGCCCTCCTGGAAGCTAGCCCAAAGTGCGTAAGCCCAAGTTGTGGGGGAAAATGCTTTCCGTTCGAAGCGGAACTTTGAATGGAACTGTTTACTTGCCTTGTTCGGAGGCCTTGGTCGTCCGGATCCGGCGGTTTGGGTTGGAAGAGGGGGCATAGGTGTTGGAGCGTCCTTCTTCCTCCTCTTCTCATCGTCTCCTCTATTCCTCCCCCGACTGGCGGTAAAGAAGCAGGCGATGGGGCCATTGGATTTGGCCTTGGCTGCCGGGTGTATTCGAATGTGTCCTTTAGGATGGAATTATCCTCTTGAGAATCCTTTCCAGTTCCTCCATGTTGACCGTGGCTTCCCCATCAGACCTTAATACGTGTGTTCCCTCGGGATCCCTTTTTGCAGGAGAGGTCATCTCATCAATCTCCCTGTTTTGCCCTGTCCCCCTTCATGAGAGAAGAACCTACAAGGCTAATAGGGAGAGGGGAGGCGCTACGGCCTCGAGTGGGGAAGGTTTGTCTTTGCCCCTTCTTCCTCGCTCTCCCATATGATGGTCTCATCCTCCTTCTTGGGGGAGATGGGGAACTACGATACTTCATCTTTTCCACCTGTTGCCGGAGATTCTGAAGTTTCGATTTGAGGACCGCCTTGTCTCTTCTAGCTCTTGTCAGTTTCTCCCTGAGTTCCTCCATCTCTAGATTACATGTGGAGGACTTGCCCTCGCGTGCTCTCCTGGTCAAGGTATTGTTGATCGCGCCAATGCTTTCTGTTACCTTTCACAGGGCTTTGGTCATGTCGCCCCATAAGTTTTTTGATTTTTGAGCAACAGCCCTGATTCTGTCCACCGTCTCTATAATCATAGCAATGACATCCAGCATGGGTTGCTTCTTTCCTGGAGTTCTACCTCCTTTTCTTTGATCTGAAGAAGCCCTTTGGACTCCAATAATGAATCGTCCTTTTTTTGGTCCCTCTTCTGGCGCGCTTTTGCTGTGAATTTTCCGACATGGTCAGGGTGGTTTATAGCATGCTTTCCTCGCTTTCCTAGAATGCTGGTAGTTCCGTCTGATTCTGTATTGCTAGATATATCTTTTTATCACGTATTGATACAATATAACTTTTAAATTATGCTTTACTTATTAAATTTATAAATACATTTACTAAAAATGTATTTATAAGGGAACACCGCGAACTCAGACTTTGATTTAACTCAACTTTTATATAGAAACTCAATAAAGAATAACGGGCATGAATTGTGCATATAATTATTATTATATACATAAATAAATTATATAATGCATAATTATATGCATAATTCGTGCCCGTTTTCACTTTTAAGGTATGATTTTCGAAAGATAAAAAGACGCTTATATTTTTTTGCATAATTTTTTATTCTTTAAAAAATTTGAACAACAAAATTTGTTGTATAAATTTTTCTTCAATAAAACCTTTTTTGTTTATGTCACTGTGTAACAATTAACTTGTTATTAAATTTTTATTTCAAACATTTTTTTGTATCTCTTGTACCTTAAGAGTTATAAAAAAGTATAAATGCTCTTTTAAAAAGTGTAAATGCATTTATCAAGGGTGTTTCCTTATTAATACGTCTTAATATTTTGCACTATTTTAGACTCGCATACATTATCGTTTATAAATATTTTTTTATTCAAATTTCAAATTATTATGCAAAAAGAAAAAATAAAAAAATAACGCTTGTAACGCTTTTTTACTGTTTTAAACAAGCATGCGATATTTTATAATTTATTAAATTGTTGAGTCTCGAAAAAATTATAAGAAGGTCTCTGATAAAAATTATAAGAAAGATGCTGGAATTATAAGTGATAGTGTACATAATAAAATTCAAATAAAAATTAATCAAATTTAAATGAAAATTTAATCATTATAACAAATGTAGATTTTAGTATAACAATAAATACTTCTTTGTTTACACTTGTGCTTCGGTTTCGTTCATTGTTACTTCGTTCCTTTCGATTGCTATATTATTCACATCTTTAGTAACATTGTGGATACAATCTTTGCATCTAACCAGCCAAGATTTGATGAAGCTGATTTTCTGTTTCAGTTGAATCGGCACTGTTTTTGCAAGATCGAATAACATCTAATATAATATAATATAATGTTGCGTCCAGCGTGGAGTAAATTGAAAAATTGAGAATTAAGAATTAAAAATGGGAACAGGATACGAATGGGGAAAGACGCGAACAGCTGCTCTCTCGAAGGCCAAGCGTGGAAACGTGATTCTTCGAGTCCGAGCGCATTGATAGTCTCAGCACTAGGTCAACGATGCGAGATGTTATGACGCTATTCCACAGACGTGCGCTGGTCGGTCATTTTCTGATCAAAAAATTTAATTCCTATTATCATGGATAGATCTCATGCGATCAGTGGGATGGGGAAAATGAGACAAGAGGTTTTATGAGAAATAAAGAGAAATTAAAATTAAATTAAATGTTTAATATGATTAATATTGTACATGTTTTAAGAAGCAAGAGAAATGATGTAAGCGAGTAGTGTACATGTATCTTATCGCGGGTGTTACAATCATTCGGCGGCCATCGGGTAGGATTTCTAATAGAGAGAGTGTGTAAGAGTGTATCAAGCGATGATCCTATCCGATAATACATTACAAAATATATTTTGGGAATAAACTTAAATTAATAAAAACGAAAAATTGACATTATTTAATTAATATGTATGTGTGTATATAATAGAAAATTAAGGAGGGGAATTTGTTCTGGAAGAGGGGTTGAGAGATCAAATAGTTCCGGAAAATCTATTTCAAGAGGAAACAAGGGTTTTCCATCATTGGAGAATAAAGGACGGGAGATAGAGATTCGAAATCGATTATAGATTCAGGATCAAATGGATAGTATGGATTTCCAGCGGTAGAAAACTCGGGGAAAAGCTGGGAAAATGAATCGAGAGGAGATTCAGAAGAGGTTGATGGTAACGGTTCGGTCGATTGTTTCGTCGATTAATTGTTTCGTTTTACTTTCTTGTTTCTGACTCTGATTGCCCGCCAGGCTCCACTATAATGACGATAGGGTCGTTTTAATAGACGGTCAGATTTTCGATTTTTAGAAGGCGGTAGTTCTATTTGATT